ATGGAATATTATTCGGCCTTAAAGAAGGAACACCTGTTCTCTGCTACAGCACAGATGAACCTGGAGGACATTGTGCTAAGTAAAATAATTCAATCACAGAAAGACAAATACTGCATGATTCCACTTGTCTGAAAAATTGAAAGTAGTCTCAGTCTTTTCTTACGTTGGTCTTTAATAATACTTGCTATTAAAAGGCAAAGCGAGCTGGTTATTTATTCCTCATCCAGTATAATGGTACTGTCCTGCATTAGCCCTACTCTGGCCACCACCCCTGCAAAGCCTCAGGCAGACTAAAAACCTAGAGTAGTCTAACTCTAAGAAACTTCTAGAACATAGATTGTTATTTGTTAGGCCTGGGGGAGAGGGAAAAGGTGGGTTATTTTCCAATGGATATAGGGTTTCAGTTTTTTTTTTTAAATTTTATTTATTCATTTGACAGAGATCACAAGTAGGCAGAGGGGCAGGCAGAGAGAGAGGAAGGGAAACAGGCTCCCTGCTGAGCAGAGAGCCTGATGTGGGGCTCGATCCTAGGACCTGAGATCATGACCTGAGCCGAAGGCAGAGGCTTAACCCACTGAGTCACCCAGGCGTCCCGGGCTTCAGTTTTATAAGATGAAAAAGTTTTAGAGATCTGTTGCAGGACAGTGTGCTTATAGTTCATACTATTATACTACATACTTAAAAATGATCATGATGGTAAATTTTGTGTCATGTTTTTTATCACAATTTTTATTCACTTATTTACTTTTCTCAAAGATCTTATTTCTCAGGACTCTCTGTACCCAACATGCGGCTCAAACTCATGACCCCAAGATCAGGAGTCACACAGTCCACCGACTGAGCCATCATTTTAAAAGAGGAGATTTCGCATACAAGATGTTCCATGGTAAGAAATCTCAGAAGAGCTCCGTTATGAAGTTATCTATTTAGGAGCTATCTATTTAGAAAATCAGGACAGGTTCTAGTGGAAACTAAAACTTGCAACTTTTTCAACAGCTTTCACTGAAATGATGTTAGAGACAAGCGGAGCCATACATTTAAAAAAAAGAGAGGAGAGATTCTTGGAGGGGGGTGGCTTTTGGGCTGGATAAAATGAGGGCTTCCATAGGCAGAGGAGTAGAAGGACGGGAAGGAAGCCTGAAGCAAGGCAGGACGGGTGGAGGTGGGGGTGGGGACGCTGTAGGCAGCAGGTGGGAGAAAGAGGCCGATTTGGGGAGAGTTTATAAACCTCAGGAGCAATTGCAGGTTCGTGTGGCTCCGCAGAGGCAGATGGGGAATCATATCTCACAGGGGAGAAATCGAGAAAGGGTAAAGGGTAAAATCGAGAAAGGGTAAGCCTGGGAAGGCACCCATGTGGAGGCGAAGGGGCCAGGACAAAGCGAGTCTGAGGAAGGCAGGGAGAGTACAGTGAGAGCACCGGAGGCGAGCAGGGCTGAGCCCAAGCACGGGGGCTCTCCCAGGTGGGCGATCGGATTCACCTACAGCCAGGCGGATCACGCGCGACCTTCCCTTGAACCCCGCCAGGAAATCACCGCGAAATCCCACATTCCCATAAATTAAAGATAACCACGGTAGCGAGATGGATCAACAGATCGGGGGCAAACAACAGTGGCCTTGCAGCTGTCCCTGCCAGCAGGGGTCTTTAACACCCAAGGGCCTGGGGCTGGTCGTGTTTGTGGTGATGGTCTCCTAAATCAGTTCTGTGCTGTGAACCCACAGAAGGTCTCTGAGTGGGAGCCAGGGACCCCCGCTTTCCTAGTCACTTGAGCAAATCAGCTCCACTTCGAGTGGGAATGACAGGGGAGCAGCTGGGGCTGGCAGAAGGAGAGGGGAGAAGAAAGAATGTTCCTCTTGAATCGAACTTCCAGTAACTTTCTGTAGCTGGAGCTTCCTCTGCCAGCCAGCACGGGAGCCTTTCAGCACACCTCACCCCGCCAGCTTCTCCAGCAGATCTCTGGGCTCCAATCTCCTAAATGATAACTGGATTTGAGGACCAACAATGCTTGCAAGGAGTTCCAAGGTCTTATACCCCAGATTCAGGAATTCCTGAGTCAGTGTATTTGAAATATTCAGTTCACTGATCGCCCCCTCCCTGCTTCTGTTCTGAAGGCTAGTTCTGGAATCACGGGCCTAATCACACTCAGAGCTGCCCCTTATGGAATCCACGTGCCAGGCACAGCGCTAATTTCACGGGTCACTGCTTTCAAACCTCACAGTGACTCTGTAGGGAAGGTGCTTTTGTTAGGATCCCATTTTACAGCTGGGAAAATGGAGGCTCCAAAAATTTAAGAAGTTTTCCAAAGTCCTGCAGCCCAAGGTTGTGGTGCTGACAGGCCCACCGGCCGACCTGCCCGTGAAGAACTATGGGAAACACATTTCTGATGGATGGCTGGTCAACCTTCAGAGACAGCGTAGCACGGGCCACGGTGAGGCACGAGAGGCACTCACGTTGGGCGGCAAGATGCGAGTGGTGTCAACACCCCTCAGTCATCAAGACAAATAATATTTTTAATGCAATGTTTTAAGAGATCAAAATGAATGCAAACCAATCCGTGAGGAACAAAACATCGAAAGTTTAAACTGAGACTCCACGCGGTGGCTCGGGATTGGTGGAGTGGGATGCGGGTTCTCTGTGGGTTTGTCTCTTGGATTCCAGAAGCCTAGAGTTGGTTGGGGGCCTTGCCTCCTCCCCCCACCCGGCTTTTCCCTCCCTTCAGGCTCTTACGAAGCTGATCTTTCCTACCTCTTTCCCCTCTGGGTCAGTTCCAAAGGAAACTCAGGCAGCAGGCGGGGACAGAAAGATGTCCATGCTGAACACAGAGTGGGTCTGGAATCCCAGAGAATGAATGAAACCCAGCTTTCCGTGCCCTGCCCGACTCCTGCCATTGCCGCTGCTCCCTAACCCTAACCCCCACCCCACCTCACCCCAAGAGTTGCAGGACATTCAGTGGAAGGTGTCCATGTGCTCTTGGGATGTCCAGCTGTTTGGCATGTACGCTCCCTCCCTAATGCGGTACCATGGACCACCGGCCCAAAGGACAGAAGGCCCATGTGAGGCTTGCTGGAATGCAGAATGATTGTGCCTGAGCCCAACCCTTTGCCTGTGCCTTCCAGTGCCTCGGCTCCCAGGCCCCTGGAAAGGGGCTAGATGCGACCAACGGAGGTGTGGGCAGAGATGGAGGGGCTACGGGGGGTAGGAGCCTGGGTGGGGAGAGATCTTCAGCCAGGCACACAGCCAAGTCACTGAGAGCCCCTTGGCGAGGAGAAGCAGAAAGTGCCCCATCTCCAGCTGGGGCTAGGAAGAGTTGAGGATTTAACCAGCCGGGGATTTAAAGGGCCCTCCTCTTAGGCTGTGGCCCTCCCCGGTGAGCACGGGGAGGGGCTTCTTGAAGCATGGAGACCAAATATTTCAAAATGAGGACTATGCCTGAAATCTGCTAAAGGGTGTGGGATTTGGGCTCTGAGGTCCAAGCTTGAACTTGATTCCAGGGCTGCCAGCTATCCTGATTGGCTCTGGGGCTGAGGGGTTTCCTGGGACCCTGGACTTTCCGTGCTAGACTCAGACAAGTCCTGGGCCAATCCAGATGAGGGGGGCGCTCTCTAGACCCTGTTCTGGCAGTATCCTCCTCAAACTCTCTGTCCCCCCTCTTCCACACATACAGGGCAGAGATACTGGTGAGACCTGCTGGGCTTACTTCGCGCACTCGAGGGACTGCGAGGAGCTAACGTGTGTTTTCTGCAGCACCTTCAACCCCTCCCTGATTGTACCTGTAGCACCTTGAACCCATCCCTGAGCCTAGCACAGCCGCTGCCAACAGGCATCTGCAGGCCTCTCCTCCCTCTCAGTCTGAGCCCTCTGGGGGTGAGACCTCCGTATTCATCTCTGCACCATCCCCACCCCCACCCCGTCCCCTGCCCAGCCTTGGCCAGTGTTCGGCAAGAAGATGCTGCTTGGGACATCTGTGTCACATGCTGCAAAGCCCAGCGTGTTCTCGCTGGTTGGTTGGCACTCTCGTTTTCTGCCTGCCGCTGGTTAGCCCTGCGAAGAAAGCCCTCTCCGGGTTCAGACAGACAGACTCTGCTCCGGGGGCAGCTGTCAGGAGGACACCAGACAGAAAGTGAATGGGCAACGTGAGAAGGCAGGAGGGCCCCATGGAGAGATGAGGACACACGTCCCCACCACAGGGAGGAGAGGGACAGGAGTGGGATCTTAACAAGCAGGCCGGCTCCATACTCTGGCCTCTGGGGCTCTGGCAACGAGCTGGCACCGCCTGCTTTCTGAGGTCCAGGCCTAGCCCTTGGCTGCCTGCCTCCCTGACTTTCCCAAGGCTGGTGATCCCTCAGGAGGACCCCCTGGGGGTTGCCCAGACCTTAGCATGCTGAGCTGCCCTCTTGGCCCAGGTACCTCATGGGCAGTCTGTCCCAAAACTCTGCACTCCATCTCCTCCCCCGCTTGCCTCTCCCATCTCAGCCCTAGGCCTGCTTCTCTGCCTCTAGGCTCCTGGAGACAGAGGGTCCTGACTCTGACACTGCGGGGTTCCAGCCTTGGTCCTCCTAGCCCTCCCAGCTCCCATCTCAGCGGACTCCCCCACCCCGTGAGCAAACCCTTTGGCTCCGGGACCATTTGGAGCCTGCCAGGGGGACTTGGGGTGGGGGCAGGGGGAGAAGCATGACTCAGAGGCAGCCCGAAATCAGGAAAGCCCTCTCCAGCCCTTGCCAACCCGCACCGAGGCTCCATCCCACATATCCTCCCAATCTCTGTGGATCTTATTTCATTCACTTGCTGGCATAATCTTCCTGGGGTCCGGGAGTGCTGGGAGCCCAGATACAACCCCCGTGACCAGAGAGTCCTACAGCTCTGAGTAGAAGAAATCCCAAAGGCATCTCTTATCTTTGGATAGATTAGATAATACTGTTTGCAATTCATGGTCAGAGCAGCTCGGCTCAGAGAGGGCCAGCCACTTAGCAAAGGAACGCTCAGCGGCTCCTCAGCCACATACCTGAACTCTCTTTTTTCCGTCTGGTTGACTTCTTCTCCGTCTCCTGGGCAGTGCTCCCGAGGACCTCGTAGTCCTCGCCAGGGCCTCCCGTGGTGTCCACCAGGCCTGGGCTGCTGGCCCCCATCTCCCTGGAGCCCCCAGCTGGGCCCGGGTTGAGCCTGCGCCGGGCCTCTGAAATGGGGAAGTTCCAGTCGGGGGGCTGTGGGAAAGCGGGGTGCTGCTCAGTGAAGATGCGCTCCTCCCGGGGAAGGCTGTGTGGGGTGGCGGCCAGGCAGGAGGCTGAGAAGTCGGGGTACGCTGCCGCCGCTGTCGCCGGGAAGTCGGGTTTCTGGTGGAAGGAGAACGGCGTTGGCGGATAGTGGGGCAGCCCTGAACCCCCACTGGCTTCAGCGTGAGGATTTCGAAGGCAGCCCCAGCCCGGGGCCTGGGGGTGGGGGTGCCTCAGACAGCTGCTGGCCACGGGATCCATCTGCCGTCCACGGCTGTGCGTCTCGGTCTTTTCAAAGTTTGGATTCTCACACTTTTTTATATTCAGATTTGTTTAAAAACGCAAAAAAAAAAAAAAAAAGATAAATAAATAAATAAGAAGGGGGAAACGTTCAGCAGAAAATTCACCCCAGGAACCAAAACAAAAACCAAAACTCAAGTCTCTCCTTCAAGTACACACACGTGTGGTCAGCTGTTCGGACGTGTGCGCACACACACACCTAGGTCAGACCTCGCTCCAGGCTTCCTGCCCCCGCCCCCGACACACCAGCCTGCGTTAGTGGGGTTCCCTGGATGTGTATGGGTCGCCGATGACACTAAACATTTTCACTGTGGCAGCCCAGACGCACCCGCTGATGAGTGCTTGTCTTGGAGCCTGCAGCAAGTGGCTGCAGAGGGCTGGCCCGGGGGCTGCGAGACACACTTTTAAATCCTGCGGTGGGGAGAGAGTGACAAATTTCTGAAGTGAAACGTGAGAGAGGAGAGGGAGGGGTTAACCAGCACACACACGATCCCCTCCAACCAAAACCCGAGCAGGGAACTATTAATCATCAGAAACCTTATATGCACATCTAATGGGATTTGCAGATGGAGACTTTTAAAGAAACATTGTCTGTATTTCTTTTTTTAATTTTAAGGAGAGAGAGAGAGCGCAGCACACACACACCACGTCTTTAATGTGCCTCCCGTATGCTATGAAGTTATTTTATTGCGCTGTTAACAAAATTCCCCAAGTCGTGGATTTGGAAAAAGCCTTAAGTCAGATCCAGAATCCGTCAAGTGCCAAATTCCGGGGAGTGAGGCGGGAACTAAGTGCAAGAGACAAGTTTGCTGATTGCATTTGATTTAAAGGCCCTTCTGCTGCTGCTAGCAAAGAGGAAGGAGGATTAAAAGAAATCTTTTTTTGCAAGTCTCAGCGGCCCACTAGTGTCCATAGCATAAAGACACAGTCCGGAAAAAAATTATTTCTCTCTGCCCAAAGTGACATTCTCACTTTCTCGGTAACTTAAAAAAACAATCAGATTCTTCCTTCCGTTCTTTAACCCCGACTTACATGCCAATTAGCCACACTCTTCGCTAGGGGGGTTTCAAGTCATTTTTCTCCATGGCAAAGAGAAGGCTCCTAGATAAGGTTCTGGAAGTTTCTCCAGGGCCCCCTCACTTCCACCCACCTGCTTCCCCTACCCCGGCCCCCGAGGCTACAGCTTCTATGGAATCTGGGGCGTGGAAATAGGAATCAGGGGGATGCTCATTCCCAAAGGAGTTCTCTTTGGAGAACAATCACGTGGTTTTCCTGGCCCGTGCCTGTCACAGAAGGACCAACTCCGCTTTCAACTGGTTCCAGTCTACTTGATCCCCATGCCCTGCTGGTTGCATAGGAGGGTTAATATAATTTCTGGGAGGTTGATATTCCAAGCACACGGGCCAGAGCTCCCCTCCCACTGAATCTTTCCACGGCCCAGAGCAGCGGGATTAGGGCTGAAATGGGCACAGACATCACTGCGTGCTGGTTGGTTCCAAAGATGCCAGGAGGGCCCAAGGGCCTCAGCCCCGCAGCCTAGAGGCCGCGCACGCACTCTTCATGAAATTGGCATTAGGCTTCTGGAATGGGCATGGTGTTGGAGACCAGGAGAGGAGATGGGATCTCTGCCACGAATCAGAATCATCTCTCTGCTTGGCCCGGGGACTTAGCTGTTACACACACATTTCTCCTCTGGACTTCATGACTCTCCTATTATGGGTCAATTAAGAATTATGTTCAATATTTTACAAATGAAAATGAGGCTTAGTCAGAGGGACACAGCGAAGAAAAGGCAGAACTGGGAGTTGTCCTCAGGCATCCCGTCTGGGGCAGCTTGACGCAGAGGGAGGAGCGTGGACTGTGGATTTCAACAGGTGCGGGTTCAAATCCTGGGTCTGCCGCTTCCCAGCGACGTGCCCTGAGACAAGTCACCGCTTCTCTCCGAGCTTCTATTTCTTCTGCTGACATTCGCCCAGAGACCTCAGCACCACACAATATTCCCCCAAGGAATCCTCATAAAAGCACTGTGAGACAGGTGCTTTTCTCATCAGCCCCACGTTTCAGAAGAAGACTTGGGGGCACAGACAGGCTGTGTAACAAGCCTGGGGACACACAGCCGGGAGGTTGGAGGACCCAGGATTCTGAACCCCACTGAATTCTGGCCCTGCTGAATGCCCACCCCACAAACACCTGAGAATCTAAAGGAGTCATTTCTGGGAAGTGGAGCTCTGAGAAGGTGATAGATAATCACGGTCCCTTATTCACCTATCTCTTTGTCCTTAACTCGAAGATTCCAAAAAGAGACTGTGAGGGAGGAGCGCTGAGGAGATTGTACCACACAGCCTCGTGCAGTCCCTCAAGGGGCTCCTGGCTGTGGGGACTCTAGAAGAATCCACAGGAGGCTGGGAGGAAGCCCTGGCCTGTTAGCTTCCCCAGGAAAACCTCCCAGCGGTTGTAACTGGACTCCTGGGCCTCTGCAGCTGGCCTGGGGAGCCTAGCCCAGGGAGGCCCAGCCCAGAGAAGCCCAGCCACGGCCTTTGGCCTCTAGGAAGGGGTGGGCCGAGGGGTCAGGGGTGCAGTTAGAGGGGCACGGCAGGGGTGCAGTGCATTCGGCTAGGCCCGGCAACCCCCTGCACCCCGGCGCCCGAGCAGCTGCCTGCGTCTGTCAGCCACCCCGCGGGGCGCGGCCAGGGGCCCCCGTAGGCCTCTACATCTTCCTGACAGGCCTCTCTTCAGAGGCCAGGAAAAAACAACAGTCCCTCCCCTCACGGCAGCCCATTTGTTAGATGAAGGCCGGGAACCAGCACCTTTAACCTCCTCCAAGTCAGCATTTCCCCCTCCGGGCCCCGCAGGCCCCCAGACAGAGATGGATGGAAGTGGCTGTTTGTGGAAAAAAGGCCCCGTGACTGTGCGGCCAAGGGGAGCAGGGTTTTCAGGAAGGGAGGGGACCCCGCTTCTGGTTGTTGTTGGGGTGGCAGGAGGAGGAAGAGGAAGAACGTGCGTCAGGAGGATGGTCGGCCACACCTGAGCCATCCCAAGGAACTTTTGGAATTTCCCCCATTGTGCGCAACAAGCAGGCTTGTCCTTGGCGCCAAGGACCGGGCCTGCTTCCCCGTGTGCTAGGCCACCCCACCCACCTGTGCCTGGAGCCGCAGGGTGTCTGGGGAGGGAGCCTGGGGTCTGGGGGCGGAAGGCTGGGCATGAGGTGGGGCCTGGCCTTTCAACAGCTCAGCGGTTTCAGGCAGGTCACATCCTTCTTCTGAGCCTCAGTTTCCCCACTGGCAAGAGGGAGATGACAGTTCCAGCCTCGTGTGGCCGTTTGGGGGCTACATGAACGATGTCTGTGACCAGAGTTGGCTGATGGTAATGGGTGAGGCAGGTGAGGCTCATCGTGCCTTCTCTGTCCTTACTCTGCCAGAGCGCTGGGCAGGTCACGTCTTCTTGGAGGGTGAAGATGGCCCAGCCTAGCCCCTCAATACCTACCCCCGCTTCTTCCTCCTCTTTTTCTTCCTCTTCCTCTTCTTCTTCTTCAGAATGATTTTATTTATTTTGAGACAGAGAAAGAAAGCAGGCAGAGGGGCAGAGGAAGAGGGAGAAAAATCCCCAAGCAGACTCCCCACTGAACGTGGAGCCCAACGCAGGGCACCTGAGATCATGATCTGAGCGGAAACCAAGTCTCAGAGGCTCAACTCACTGAGCGGCCCAGGCACCCCTCAATACCTTCTTCTGTGGCAACCCAACAGAAGGTCATGATCTTGGCCTTGGGAACCAGGAGAGTCTGGGTTCAAGTCTCAGCTCAGCCATGAGTAAGTGGCATGGTTTTGAGCAGCTCACTTTATTACTTGAGCCTCAGTTTCCTCATCTGTAAAGTGGGGAGAAACTTTTCCTTCCTCCTCCATTAAGGATGGGACAGGAGACAGACAAGTTCTGAATATGGCAGAAATGTTTCTGAATCAGGGTGTTTATTCCTGGGCCTGGGATTTATCTGGAATGTGTATACCCTTGGCTTCTTGCAAGGCCTTTTTAATTTTAAGATTTTATATATTTGAGAGAGAGAGTGCCTGGGAGTAGGGTGGAGGGGCAGAGGGAGAGGGAGAGAGAGAATCTCAAGTAGACTCCCCACTGAGGGCAGAGCCCACCCTGAGCTCACGCCCTGAGCCAAAATCAAGAGTTGGACGCTCAACCCACTGAGCCAGCCAGGTGCCCTGCTTCTTGGGTTTGAGGCAGCACGATTGTTACTGCTCTATGGGGCTTTTGTGAGATTCAGATAATAGGATGGTCAGGAGAGAAGGGAATAAAGCCCAGAATACAGTTCTCATGATGGTCACAGATGCCTCTGCAAAGCCTGCAAGGTGGGACCGGGGCGTACTGCCCTTGGGAATCAATGACGGGGTCTTTCCCTATGGCCTCGAAAACACCGAGTTCAACAGAGCTAGCCACCTTGGATGAAAGTTTTCTCTTGTGCGCTTATCTCTGGTGCTGCCCGTCACTTGTCTGCTCCCAAGATTGTGGGCGGGAGGACTGGAAAACCCAACAATGCACTCAGGGGCCTGCGTCAGAGCCCTGGCTCTTGGAGGATGGGTGACCTCAGTTTCCCCAACTGAACAGCGGCAGCTCACTGAAGACAGGAGGTACAGACATTCAGGATGTGCTCCGGAAACAGGGCCCTTTCTGGGCTTCTGAAGGAGCTGGGGTGCCTGTTGACTTGCACAGGGGCAGGACGGTGTCCCTGATGGGGAGGGGCCCTGCACAGGGAAGGAACAGGGGAACTTGGGTCACGTAGGGAGAACCAAGTTTATCAGAATAACAGAAGGGGAAACGCACACAGAGTCTGTTATTCTCGCCAAGAAAAGGAGTCCGAGGTGGCTGTCCAACCGGGGATAGCCATTCACCCACGTCATCAGGGCCACATGCACTGTCACTCTCTCTGCCTCCTGCCTCCAAGGGTCTCCTCATCCAGCTGGTGGTTTGAGCTCCGCTGTCCCGTCGGCATTTCAAGTGGCAGGAAGGGGGAAGGACCAACAAGAGTTCCCCATCTCTCTACCCCATTCAAGGGGGCTTTCTGGAAGTGCTGGTCAACAACTGATCTTAGCCCCATTGGTCAGCACCTGTCACCTGTCACCTGGCCACCCGTAGCCTCGAGGGAGGCTGGCCCCCACAAACCCGGCCTCATCTTCCCTGGCAGAACCCCTTCTCCTCAGAGAAAGTCACTAAAGTAGGGCAGCTGGAGAAAATACAGGGTGCCCAGTGGGTATTTTCCACATAATATTTGGGACATACTTGGGCTAAACATTATTTGTTGCTTCCCTGAAATTTTAATTTCACTGGGGATCATTCCCGCGCCCCCTCCCTGCCCCACCCAAATCCAGCAACCCTCATCTGAGGCAAAACTCATCTTTGAGCCAGAGAGGACCAGGGCCTTAACT